GGGGGGCTGGGTTGGGGTCCCAGTGAGGGGGATATATAAGGAACAGGTCAGGAATCTGTATGGGGATGTATAGGGCTGAGCTGGGCCCATCAGTGATGCCCAGTTGTGGCCTCAAGTTGCACCGGGGTAAGTTTGGGTTGGATATTAGGAAACACTTCTGTACAGGAAGGGTTGTTAAGCACTGCGATGGGCTCCCCGGGGAGGCGGTTGAGTCACCATCCCTGGGTGCGTTTAAAATCCGCCTGGGTGCGGTACTGAGGGAGGCGATTCAGCAGAGGCTCGTTGGTTTGGGGTGCTGCAATGAGTCGTGGTTGGGCTCGATGATCTTTAAGGCCTTTTCAGTGATTCTGTGCGTGGAGCAGACGTGGGGTCAGCGAGGGGAGCACGTAGGGCTGCATGGTGTTGGGGATCAGTGCAGGGGGGGTGCACCGGGGGTTGGGGCCAGGCAGGCGTGGGGTTTGAGCTGCAGGGGGGGCAACGGGGGGTCTGCGTGGGCACTGGGTGCTGCAGAGCCCCGTCCCCTCTCCCTGCTGGCCCCAACCATCTCCCACAGCCCCCGGGATGCCCGACCCCACGCCATGCTGCTCGCCGCCTACGCCTCCCTCGCCGCGCTGCTGGCGGCCACGCTGGGCCTGGAGCTGTTCTCTCGCCGCCAACCCGGCCCTGCCGCCAACCCGGCCTTCGCCCGCTTTCAGCACCGCTTCCTGCGCGCCTACCTGCCCGCGCTGGCGGCCGACTGGCTGCAGGGCCCCTACCTCTACAAGCTGTACCACCACTACCGCTTCGTGGAGGGGCAGATCGCCATCCTGTATGTCTGCGGCTTCGCCTCGGCCGTGCTGCTCGGCCCCCCCACCGCCTCGCTGGTGGACCGCCTGGGCCGGCGCGCGTCCTGTGTGCTGTTCTCGCTGAGCTGCGCCGCCTGCTGCCTCACCAAGCTGTCCCGCGACTACCTGGTGCTGGCGGCTGGGCGCGTGCTGGGCGGCCTGGCCACCGCGCTGCTCTTCTCCGCCTTCGAAGCGTGGTACGTGCACGAGCACGTGGAGCGGCACGACTTCCCCGCCGAGTGGCTGGCCGGCACCTTCGCACGGGCGGCTTTCTGGAACAACGTGCTGGCCGTGGGGGCCGGCGTGGCGGCCACAGCCCTGGCTGAGTGGCTGGGGCTGGGCCCGGTGGCGCCGTTCGTGGCGGCCATCCCGCTGCTGGCGCTGGTGGCCGCGCTGGTGCTCAAGGACTGGGAGGAGAACCACGGGCCGCCGCGCGCCTTGGCCAAGACGTGTGGGGATGGGCTGCGCTGCCTGCTGGCCGACGGCCGCGTGCTGCTGCTGGGCACCGTGCAGGCGCTGTTTGAGAGCGTCGTCTACATCTTCATCTTCCTCTGGACACCGGTGCTGGACCCGCACGGGCCGCCGCTGGGCATCGTCTTCTCCAGCTTCATGGCGGCCAGCATGCTGGGCTCGGCGCTGCAGCGCGTGGCCGTGTCTGCTCGGTACCGCCTGCAACCCGTGCACCTGCTGGCGCTGGCCGTGCTGCTGGCCTTCCTCTCGCTCTTCATGCTCACCTTTTCCACCGGGCCCGGGCAGGAGAACCCGTCCGAATCCTTCCTCGCCTTCCTGCTGCTGGAGCTGGCCTGCGGGCTCTATTTCCCCTCCATGGGTTTCCTGCGACGCAAAGTGATCCCCGAGAAGGAGCGCGCCGGCGTGCTGCACTGGTTCCGCGTGCCGCTCAACCTGCTGGCCTGCCTGGGGCTTCTGCTGCTGCACGGCAGCGACCATCGCGGCGGCACACGCAGCATCTTCGCCCTCTGTGCCGCGCTGATGCTGCTGGCGCTGCTCGCCGTCGGCCGCCTCTTCACTGTCGGCCGTCACGACCCAGAGCTGCGACTGCCGCCCCCCCAGGGCCCCCCTGAGAGCCCCGAGCTGTGAGGGTGGTGGGGGGGGGGGGGGGGGGAGGTGGTTCGTAGGAGTGCTGGGAGGCAGGGATGCGGCACGGAGGGACGAGTGACCCCTGAGCACCTTTGCAGCCGTCCCTTCTCCGCTTTGTAAAGAAAATAAAGCGTTTCTGTAGATCCCCCACCTTTTTTTTTTTGGAGGGGGGTGGCAATAGGGTGAATTTGCTGTTTGGCACCATGCTTCCATGCCATGCTCAGCACCCCCCTGGGGAACTGCAGCCTCCAGACCCCCAGTGAGCGCCCATGCGCAAGGTGGGATTCTCCCTGCTTTCTGGCCCCCCCCCGGCTTTTTGCTGGGGGGTGGCAATGACTTCAGGGCAGTGCAAACGTCACTCATCACTGCCCATAGCATCGGGCAGCGCTGGGTCTGCAGCACTGCACTCTGTGAGTGAGGTCCCCACAAGTCAGGGGGTGAGGAGTGGGAATGGAGGAGCCCCACAAAGGGGAGACGGAGGGCCTGAGGGTCCTCTCAGGCCCTGTGGGGGGGTTCTGCAACGCGATGTCACAGCCCTGCAGCACCAGAGGGGATGTGCGGAGCCCCATGGCCGTGCCACCCACTGCAGGGGCTCCATGGGACCCCTTGGAGACCCTCTCACCCCCCCCGGACCCCCTCTGGCCTCCTCCGAACCCACTGGGACCCCCTCAGGACCCCTCCAGATCCCACTGGGATCTCCTGCATTCTGGGTGCCGCTGGGTGACCTCAACGGGACGCTTCCCCACACTGCACACCGCAGCCCCAGAAACACCACAACGCGTGAAACAAATACGGATTTACTGCCCTGTTGCTGTTTTCTGCATAAAACGACCCGAAAAAGCCGGGCTGTCCCCCCCTCCTGCCCCACCCCACCCCCACCCCGTTCCTTTTCCCACTGCTACCCCCATCCGATCCCGGTCTCATCCCGATCCCACGCCCGCCCTACAGCTGCTGCAGCAGAGCGAACACCTCGGGGTCGAGCCGCGCCGGGCGCAGGCACTCGCGCAGGCGGGGGGCCGTGGCCGCAGCGCCCTCCCTCCGCCGCCACTCGCGCAGCATCTCGAAGCCGCACAGCGCGGTGCGGTGCGGGTTGTTCTCGCGGATCTGCTCCAGGAGGCAGCGCCGCAGCCCCAGGCACAGCACGCCCACCTCCTGCCACTCGTGGCCCAGCAGCTGCGCGACCCGCAGCAGGTCCCGCTCCGACAAAAGCCGGTCGCCGCCTGCGGAGACCCACGGGTTGTCAGCGGGGACGCGGCGCTCGCCCCGCCGGCTCCGAACGCGCGCCCCATCCCGACCCCCGCGTCCAAAAGCGTCCTCACCGCATCCCGCCGGGTCCGCGGCGACGTCCGGAGAGCCGCCGGCGACATCCCGAGGATCGCCTGCTTCCCGAGAGCCGCTCCCGGCAACCTGCGGGCCACCGGCGGCGTCTCAACGACCGCCGTCGGCAACCCGAGCGCCACCGGCGGCACCTCGAGGGCCACCGATTTCATCCCGAGCGCCGCCGAACGGCGCCACCGAGAGCGTCCTCAGCGGCACCCACCTCTCCGGGAACGGCGGCGGCCGCGTCCTCGCCAGGCAGGCGGTACCGCGCGATGAGGTCGCGGCGCGGCAGGAGGCGCAGGATCGCGGCGACCACGTGCAGCGCCCGGCCCGGGAAATGCTGCAGCAGCATCGCGCACAGCTCGGGCCGCGTGGCCGGCTGCAGCCGCGATAAGGGCAGCCGCTCCTCCAGGAAGTACTTGAAGGTCTGGAACTGCTCCTCCGACAGCGCCCGCTGCACCGCCAGCAGCACCTCGCGCTCCGTGGCGGCCGCGGGGCAGCGCTGCGGGCTGAGCGGAGGGCCGAGCTGCGGGCCGAGCTCGGGGCTAGGGTCGCCCATCGTCACGCGTCCAGCCCCGGGATGCTCGCCCGGCGCTCCGACCGTGGGGAGGGCGAGGGCTCACCCAGCGCCGCGCGCTGCCTCGTGTCCGCGGGGTCCCCGCACGTCCCCGCTGTCCCCCGCCGCCCCGGACCCCGCGGACCCCGCCGAGCCCCGGGCTGCGCCGCCCTCACCGCGCTTCCGCTCGCCGCGCGGGGCGGAGCCGTGAGTTTCCCGCCGCTCTCAGCCAGTGGTTACCATGGCGCCGGGGGCGGGGCTTTGTGGAAACGGGCGTGGCGACGGGGGGGGCGGGGCTTGTGGTGTTTTGGAGCGGGGCTTGTTAGAGGGCGGGGCTTTCCTCTGGAGGTGGGCGGGGCTTGAGGCTGTGGGCGGGGCTTGGGGCTGAGCGCGGTCCTGGCGGTGAGGAGTCGCGGCCGCGGAGCAGAGGGGGAAAATGCTGTCCTGCCGCGTTGCTCCCCGTCTGCTGATGCACCCGGACCACAGAGCCACGGGGCGGTCGGGTTGGAAGGGTCCTTGAAGGTCGCAGAACCGTAGGCTGTCTGGGATGGAAGGGGCCTTAAAGCCCGTCAAGCTCCAGCGATGGAGTCTCGTGGCCCTACAGCCGCTTTGAGGTGTTCCCGCCCTACTCTGTAGCGGTTCCGGTCCCCTGGAGGGACACCAGCCGAGTTCCGCCGTTCGGGGATCCCCCACTGCCCCTCGCTTCGGGTCCCCCCGTGTCCCCATTGCAGAGCGCAGTGCCCCGTCCCGCCGCCAGGGGGCGCGTTTCCTCCGCGCGCCAATCCGGATCTGACCAGGATCACGTGTTCCCCTCTCTGTCGCTCACGCCCCCCTGCTCGGCCCCGCCTTCCAATTTTGATTAGCTCAACCCGACGTCCATCGGCATGAGGAACGTCGCGATTGGCGGAGATGCGGGGGCGGGGCTGAAAGAGGTGGGGCAGAGGAGGCGGAAGTGCGATGTGAAGTCCCGGATGTGAGTGGGGCGGCGGGGCCGGGGGCGGCCGCAGCTGCAACGGAGTCCATGGCGGCGGCGGCGGCGATGATGGTGAGGGGGGCGGCGGTGATGTTGGTGGTGATGGTGATGGTGATGGTGATGGTGATGGTGGTGGTGATGGTGATGGTGGTGGTGATGGTGATGGTGGTGGTGATGGTGGTGGTGGTGGTGGTGATGGTGGTGGTGGTGATGGTGGTGGTGGTGATGGTGGTGGTGGTGATGGTGGTGGTGGTGTTGGTGGTGATGGTGTTGGTGGTGATGGTGATGGTGGTGGTGGTGATGGTGGTGGTGGTGATGGTGGTGGTGGTGGTGGTGGTGATGGTGGTGGTGGTGGTGGTGATGGTGGTGGTGGTGGTGGTGGTGATGGTGATGGTGATGGTGGTGATGGTGAGGAGAGCAGGAATGCTTGGGTGGGCAGAAGTGGGGCAGAGGCATGGCGAGGTTTGGGGTGGGCTGTGGGCGCTGCACGGCGCTGTGCGGGAGGCACGGTTGGGCCGTGGGGCCGCAGGGATTTGCAGCGCCTGCGGCCGCCCATGGGGGAACCTGCGGCTACCGGGGGGTTGGGGTCTCATGGGAGCCGTGGGGCAGCCAGTGGGAATCGCAGAATCGTAGGGGTTGGGAGGAGCCTGCAGAGCTCATCGAGTGCAACCCCCGCCAAAGCAGATCCTACAGCAGGTCGCACAGGGAGGTGTGCAGGCGGGTCCTGAACACCTGCAGAGAAGGAGGCTCCACCACCTCCCTGGGCGGCTGTGCCTGCGCTCCGTCACCTCACCTAAAGAAGTTCTTGCCCACAGTTGTGCAGAACTTCCTGTGCTCCATTTCTGGCCGTTTCCCCTCCTCCTGTCTCCACACACTGCTGAAAACAGTCCATCCTCACCATTCTGCCCCCCACACCTCAGATATTTACAGGCCTGGATCGGGTCCCCTCTCAGCCTTCTTTTCTCCGGGCTGAACAGACTCGGTTCACTCAGCCTTTCCCCATAGCAGAGATGCTCCAGGCCCTTCACCACCTTTGTTGCCCTCCGCTGGACTCTTTCCTGTCTTTTTTGTACTGGGGAGCCCAGAGCTGGACTCAGTGCTCCAGATGAGGCCTTGCTGGGGCAGAGTAGAGGGGGAGGATCAGCAAGTTGAGTCCTTTGACTTGCTGGCCGCGTTCTTTTGTATAAACACCAGAACGCCACTGGCCTTTTTGGCCACACGCTGCTGGCTCACAGCCGACCTGTCCTCCACCAGGACACCCAGATCCCCCCCCGCTCCAGCAGCTCATCCCCCCCCCGCACCGCTGCACGCAGTCATTCCTCCCTAGATGCAAGACTACACTTGAACGGGACAGCGAAGGAGAGTTGGGGGCACGTGGGGGGATGTGGGGTGCTGGGGGGGGGGGGGG